AAACTAGAGCAAGCAAACCGAGTTCAAAGTCGTGACAACCGCTTCTCACTGGCGTCACAGCGATAACAAAAGGGAATTGCTCAGATCTTCTTAGTTTTACGTAAAAAAGCAGATGATTTAACAAGAATAATACATTATAATAACAAGAGTTAGTGTAACTCGTTTCACTCAGACAATTTTCACGACATCGCTATAAGTAGTAGACATCTAAAAGTGGAAGCGATGAGTGCTATTTCAGCACGCGACCTCTCAACCTTACCTCACCGTACTCTTCCACTTTTCTCAAAAGTTTATAAATCACGATACTAGTTATATATCAGAACGATATAACTGTTTTGGTTAAAACATTAACTACTTCCCACTTTAAACTTATGTTTTATTCTTGTTCTCAACTAACACTATTAAAAAACTAAAACAATATGTATAGTATTACTTAGAAGAACCAATGATTTCATTTTGTGTAATCAGTTGTGCGATACAAATGTTTGCACACTTAATTGCAATATAATAGTTAATTGTAGATTGTAAATTTTTTTTTGTTTGCTTACATATCCCCTATAACATTTTAATATGATTTTATCACTTTTAGTACTTTGAAAGTAATCTCTCCATTCACACCAATCAGTACCCAAAACTAAATCTTATCTTTAAGTATTGTAATAGTAGTGAGGTGTTTAGTGGTTCCTCATGTACCTATAACCACGATGTCATAAATTATAATCTCTAATACCTACTTGTGAGGTAAATAATCAGAAAAATTTAAACAAAACTTTAGTGACAATTAGCCAATAGTAACAAATATTAATCAACAGTCGTTAATTATAGCCAATCGTTGCCAACGAAGATATTTCCAATACTTTTAAACGAATGTATCTTACATATAATCTTAACTCCGTGCTATAAATATTTTTATGAAAATAATTAAATCAAATGAAAAGTTTTAAAACTTTTAATAAGTATTATTTTATTCTATAAACAATAATTGTACATAATTCAAATTTTAAAAATACAATGAATAGGAGTCTCATCCTCCTCCTCCCGTTTTAACTTCTACTTTTTCTGGATTGCAATTGCGCCTTGTTCTCTTTAAATCAACTAAACTTCAATTCTTCACATTTTGTTGGCACTTGGAACTTTTTACATTTTATCTTATCTTCTATTAGATTTTCTTAATACTTTGTTTTAAACTTTTCCATTTAGTTGGAAATTTTCAAACGCAATGCACGTAGGCAAGTATAGCAAAAGTTCGCTGAGAATATTGTCTAAACTAGGCAATTCCGTTCTTAAACAAAACAAAATCAATTTAAGAACTGTCACAATAGTTGCAAATAATCTAACGATAAAATGTATCTCTAAATATGGCCTAAATGAAATACATATAGCATAAGGATACATCTAAATGGTTTATAATGCTTACTCGTGGCAGCCCACCTCGCAGAAGCCAGGACTCTAAGAAGGCTTAAGAAGGGGATTCATTACAATATCACTATTTTAAGTCATGCTAACGGTTTTGATAAACTTTAGCTTGAGGTTTTGGATCGAGAAAACACTCTGTTTTTTTTTTAATAAAACGAATTATGTGCATCCTGCTTAACTGGATATATCGGACAAAAATTTGATAAAGGGAGCCCTGATGTGTATATTCACATTCTGACCAGTGTTGCACAATATCAGAGTAGGTGAGTGATAGTTATTAAAATAGTCCCAAACCAATTGGCTTAGCATACCTTTAAAAATACATAGTAATGGAAAATTATCATGCAAATATAAAACATGAGAACTAGTGATTATAGAATATTTAAGTTGATTCTATAACACTATTTTGTACCATGTCGATTTTTCATTTAATAAGTTTTGACGTAAAGTTTAGAATTTAGGATTTATTCTAAAACATCCTATGTACAGTATAGAATCTTCTTTTTTTTTTTTTCTTCCGTAAACTGCTTATTCGAGTTCTGCTCGTAATACAGATAATATACGGAAACCACTATTTTTTCTCTGTTCTTTTAATCAATACCAGTGGACCATAAGACCTCAACAATTTCTACAAATGATGTTATATGTACTGCATGGTTTTTTCTGTTTTTTCCAATCAATCCTACTGAAGTATACCTCCTTAACTACTTCTTATGTTCGTATTTCACTCGGAACTGAAGTACAGATTATGGTCACTGTGTAATAAACTGAAACGAGTTCGATGTATTCTGCTTTGGACTCCATCTCAAGGTTGAGTTCGCAATATATGTTGTTGTTGTTGTTGTATGAATCAGAAATAGAAGGTCATAAAACTTCAAAAACTTTTTGTATTCACATTAGTCGCAACTGATAAAACTCTTATCTGAAAGAGAACTTATTATGATCAATAATATTCTGTAATTTTAAGAGCAATTAACAATCATGAGTAATTATTTTATCCAACCAATATTTTAAGAGATAATCTTATAAAACCTTGTGTAAATTGAATAATTAACAAATTAAAACTATTTATTTTACTGATAATAGAGTAAAAGTCATAGCCTCTATATCTTCTTATTTGGCACTACAGTCCATTCTGGACCTTGGTCTCTCTTATAGCCACTATTTAAAAAGGGTAAAATATTTTACCTAATTTCGTACCCTTAAAGACCTAAAGAAGCAATGAACTTTGCTACTCCAAACTAAAAATAGTTATTTGAATTTTAGATAAAAAAGTTTTAAAAAACAATGTAGAGAACAATGTTGTAGTAAAGATAAATAAAAAAAACAATAAATAAAATAAATTTCAAGACTCTAAGGAATCTGAAAAAAAAATTATTTGTTGGCAATAAGACAATTTCTATAGGAAAAATAAAATTACAAGCTAAACTTACAATTTACATTGAAATATAAGAAAAGTTTTTCAATTTCTGCAAAAATTAAATAAAAATGAAAAATGTATTTATTTTATAAACTGAAATAGTGAAAAGTTAAACTATGGGATATGCTTATGCGCTATTGCATTTGAAACTGTCAGCCATATTTCATTATCTTGACATTTAGGGATACATAGATACTTTTAAGTACAACTTTCAAATTCATATAACTATTCAAATTTATATAAATTACAATTTATATAAATATATATATTATTATGTTAAAGCTAGTTGAGTCAGTGCACTTAGCAGTTTTACTCTCTATTAACTGCGTGGTTTCTTCATAACCCCTCTCTACGCCTTGACTGGATTATTGTTTATCACTTAATCAGATTAAGCAATAATTGACCTAAGATCTGCATACCTGCTCGAGAAAACTATAACCATTTTGAGATTTGATAACGCGGTGTTGGTAAGCCTGTCAGTTTTCTTAAGTAATTTCAGGGCTCTATCCTTTATGTATTTTTTTATCGGATCAATCTTGAGGTCCCTGAGGATGACATTCGTCCTAATGTACTATGGTACCTTGAAAAGTCTTCTCAGAGCCTGACTTTGTGCAATTTCTAGCTGGCGCATAGTAGTGTTTGAGGCTTTACTAAACCCTACACAACCATATAGAACTGACGGTCAATTTATTTGATTATATAAAAGCTTCCTGTTCTTAGCATTGCAATTTGGTATGAATCGCAGCAACCACCATACTCCTATTTAAAGGACCAACCTAACCCTTTTTTGTCGCATCGTGATTACCATCTGATTTTTTGGTTCCTGTGTAGTTAGCGCGGTTACATACAGCCTTTAACGTTTAAGACACTATAAGGTTATTCTGATTTCCCTAGATTATCGTTTCTACTGTTCTGCAATATTCTCTTATATTCTTTTATCTATAAGAAAACAAGATCAGTACCAAATATTCAGTTTAAACGATGCTATCTACTGATTTTACTAATTTCGGCATAACTACATACACACATTTAAAGTCCATCTGGAGAAATCTAGCAGAGAAACGTATGTATGACGTTATCGATACGTCACGTAGAACTGATCAAGACTACATCTACTTCATTGAGTGGCCGACGTCTTCTCCACTTCATTACGAATATCTTGACGAACATAGTATTCACATTTCATATCATTTGTATGATAAGTAAAATAAAAATTACATAAACAAAAACCCAGAATTCTTTTGAATTCATATATTTCCAGTAATTTCACAATTTATTTCAAACAATTTTATCGCTAGGCACGCCAGAGAGCTTTATAAGCTTTTTCTGCGCGCCTACAGTATAAATGAGTAGAGCAGCAATTGAAATACAACAGTAAAGCCGCAGCTGCAGTTTGTGAGCTTCGCAAGTACGATGTCGCCCCCTAGAGTTGATACGACTTTGAACTTTTTCGCCACAACTTTAGTTTTAATCGTTATAAGCATTTTCATGTGCTTGCATAAGGAATGCCAGTTGGGCGCGAAACAAAATCAACCTCATCTGGACGAGATGTACAATTACTTCAGACTGGATGAGTCGCAATTTCTAAATGAATTGAATTCTGAACTGGACCATGGTATATATCATGCTACCTTTATCGGCTGAATGTGTTAATAATATAATAATGTGAGAAAACAGCACACTTCTATAATGAAGTATCTATTCTTGGTGTTTAATGAAATGTTGATTGTGATAACATGAAGAACAGAAGTATCAATTGTATTGACATACGACAAGCATAAACATGGCATAGTGTATGGAGTCATTATATTATATGAATAAATAAAATTGCACGAATAAATTACTTTTGAAATTATTTAATTATTTTTTGTTTATATATATTTACTTAATCAAAAAGGCAAATAAATAAACATTAGTAAATAAACAAAACAAATTTGAAGTTCTCCCTACTTTACCCACTATTTCTTATAGCTGAATTCACAATAGTCTTTTTGACGTTTTCCTTTTCTTTTGACAATTACTACTTTGTTGTTTTTTATCTTCATTTGTCATTCATAAAAAGTGAAACCATTTTACCTGTGCCTATTGTGTTATTTTATCTGCAGAAAAGCATTTGTAAATAAAAAATACTTAAGAAATACATAACAATTTTCAAACGGTATTAGCAAATTTAAATTGTTTTATTTGATATAAATTTCATTCGTTTAAAACAAGCTATTTAATTTATAATATAAAATCTCTTTTCTGCGCACTAATTTGTTCAAATGGACGGTCAGCGCAAGGAACGCAAATCAGCAATGGTAACACGACAAATATATGTAAATGCAAAACTTGTTCTGTTCTATTAACGTTTAATTGTTTTAATAATTTGTTCAAATTATAAAAGCAAAAGCGTTTATTAATTCACATTAAACAAAAATTGTATATTTTAGGCTCCACTATCGCCTTGTCCCATACCCGACATAAGTGATGACGAGCTGGTGTCAATATCTGTACGCGATCTTAATCGTACACTTAAAATGCGTGGCTTAAATCGAGAAGAAATTGTGCGTATGAAACAACGACGTCGTACGTTAAAGAATCGTGGCTATGCTGCAAGTTGTCGCATAAAACGCATCGAGCAGAAAGATGTCTTAGAAACGGAAAAATCACATGAATGGTTGGAACTGGAAACGATGCATGATGAAAACGAGAAAATTCGCAAAGATATAGCAAATTGGAAAAACAAATATAAGGCGTTGTTGCAGTTTGCTGGACAAAATGAAATACCTATACCGCCTGAACTAGAAGACATCTAAACGCAAATTTTTATAGTGAAAATTTTTTTATATTATTATTAAGTTGTACAAAATGTTCCAAAACTGAATTATATAGTGATTTCTTATTGTACTTGTTTAACTTGTATACGAATATGTTTTATTATACCCAGATTAATCTTTTATTTCTTTTATAATACAAGATATTAAAAACTATATATGAAATGGATTAAAAACTATATTTTGTTTATATTAACAAAGTAGTATAAATGAATCTATAAAGAACAAGTGTATAATGTAATGTGAAAATATCTAATAAGTTAACATCATTCCAAGTGTTGGAATCATTTAATGTGTTTGATGACTAAAGGAGTAATTGATTTGACTTGACAAAATTTAATTTATTTATATTTGATGTACACAAAGAAATTTCTTCTATTAACTTCTTGTGTAGGGCATAGTCTCAAAAGTTCTATTAAATTGCATACCGTTTGGAACTGCACTTGTAGTCTACATATTTATGCATAACTTTAATTTTTCTAGCTAAGGTTTTTAAGTGGACATTATGCCAACGAATATCATGTTACTTTATTTGAAATCATTCAAAACATTGTGTAGGATAGCATACTTTTTTAGTACTATTTGTCAAAGATATATTCATAACGTTTCGAAATATATATATTTGCTCAAAACAAGATATATTGAATATGACTATTGATTTATATATACATTTATAATGTACTGATGTTATAAAAACAATCAATTCAAACGTAAAATGTGTTTTATATTAGCTGGAATCAAAATAAGTATGAGTACGAAATACACTTCTTGATAATATCTAAAACTATGAATTAAATTGTTTAATGTTTAAATTCAATAGAATTATCTTTGATATATATATTAGATAAACAACTGTTTTCAATAGTCTTTCATATTCTATTTAAAATCCAAGAAATAATATACATATCTTAATGATTAATTTTCAAGGATGGCTACAAAAACAGATAAATTAATTTTTGGGAATTCAATTTGTCATAAAAACAAATCCAACATAATTAGCCTTTACACAATAATTTATTTACCACCATATTTATTTATAGTAAAACAATAATAAATGATCTTATTTAAAATAACACTTATGTATCCTGTGAATTGGAAGCATCCTCGATAGTTTGTTAATCGATTTTATTTAATGCTCGTCTATTGTGAATTGCTTTATGTACCTTAATGTCAAAAGTAGCGTAAAAGAAAACGAAAATAAATTGAGTTTGTGAGAAGTTAATTTATTATAAACAAAAATATAATATAAAAATAATTGCTAATAAAACACAAAATATCTTTAATAAAAAGTTATATGCTAAAATTGAAGTTGAGTAATTTAATCCAAGAAAAACTGAACTGAATTTGAAAATCGACCAAAGCAAAGAAAGGAAAACAATAGATTTTCCAAAAAATGGCCTCCAGTGAGATATCCAGCTCCAATGAGCGGCACTATTATGCGAAATTGGAAGCAATCAAAGACATTCGCGACAAAACTATTGCGTTAGAAAAATTAAAAGTTAAAATTGTAAAAGAAGTGAAAATTAGCGATGATGAAGAAAAATGTCTGGACGAATATCGTAAGGAAATGGAACATTTGTTAGAAGAAAAGATGTCACATGTAGAGGAGTTACGTCAAATACATGCCGATATAAATGATATGGAGAATATTATTAAACAAACAAAAGAAAACCAAACTCGTAGTGTAGATATGGCTAATAGAGTGTATGAGGAGTATTTGGCACTAAAATATCAAATCGATCATATGAGACGTGATTATTTAGGGCTCAGTCCACTGCGTGATTTACATGAAGAGGAGGGTAGTCCCATATCGAAAGATCGATTTCAAACAAATTTTCTAAAGGTTGCTGCACAGTCGGCTGCAGCAGCAGCTGCTGCTGCTGCCGCTGCATCACAACCAACATCACTTGCACGTCCACATCCTCGCCATCCATTGATGCCCGAAGCTACTGTTACTGCTTTACCACCTAGTGGTGGTGGAACAGCTGGACCAACAGGTGGACACGCATTTATGCCACCAGCACCGCCAGGTTCGGCTGCTGCTGTAAATGCTGTTGCACGCATAGGTAAAGGAGATTTTTCAGCACCAGCTCCTCCTCCCCCGCCTACCAATCGTTTGCAGCAAGCACCAGCTATTGGTATAGGACACCATCCATCGTTTCGTTCAGATTTTAATGTTAATTTACGTCAACAACCGCCGCCCATGAAATCATGTTTGTCTTGCCATCAACAAATACATCGCAATGCACCAATATGTCCACTTTGTAAGGCTAAATCGCGTTCGCGTAATCCTAAAAAGCCAAAAAAGAAAAATAACTAATTTACACATAATTTGACAGTAAGTTTTGCGAACTGAATTTATAATAATTTTTTTTAATAAAAATTTCTTTGAATTTATTTACAGATACGCAATAATGTTATTCTTTGAAAACGTAACATATAAGCCAGTGTATAATTAAGAGAGATTTATTCTTAATTATTCTTAAAAGTCTGTATAATTATAGATGCTATTATTTTTATTTTTTAACGCATATTTTTTATGCTCATTAACTTATCTCAGAAATTCTAATCAAATCAAATTTAATTAACGTCATTGCATTTCTTCAAGAAAATCTCTTAATATTAGTCCATAATTCTTATATATAAATTTCACATATTATTTTATAGTAACTGAAATCTTCAACATGCTATAAATACTAACATTTATGTTTACATTAGAACAGATTTTCTTTGATATTTTTTCTTGCTATCGTTACTGTAATAGAGAAAAACTTTGCCAGCTCGTGTGCAATAGCCACCCATCCATGAATTAATTCAAATTTAATTAAATTAATATAAAAATTAATGTTTTCATACAAATTAATCACAGTTCTATATTTTGTAGATATTATTATATTATATTTTTATATACTATTAATATATTTTAAATATTATTAATATAATATCTTATATATTAATTTTTTATTATACTATATTTTTATACATTATTATATTAATTATTAAACTACGTCATTAAATATAACAATAAATTTTTTTGTAATTATACTGCATATATTATTACAATTGTGTAATAAATAATTAGTATTATGTATGTTTCAATAGCTTATAGCTTTTATGTTTTTGTGAAACTTATTTTAAATAAGAGCTTTTTCCTTTTCAATAATTTTTCACAAATGCATAAATCATTAAATATAATTATATGAAACGTATATATTAAAAATTTATACAATTTTTTATAATAACATTTTTTGCAACTAACCAGATTGTTCCGTTTTCAGAACAATACGTATCCCGCTGGCACGGAGCTCGTACATCACTGCGACCTTTCATTTATTTTCAGTATTAAGTAACATAAATGCAATGTAATGAGAGCACGAAATCTATATACTTTTTATAATATTATTTAGATTTATGCAAACATATTAAGCATGCAATTGCATTCATATACATGATATATAATTTTAATAATAATGTTAAAAGTTTAAAAAAAATTATATAATAATGTGTATGTAAACATTAATTTAAAAAAGTTTTCCATTTTAACTTAAGAGCTTAAACATTTTTTTATAAATAATTGAAATTATTCAATGTAAATTTAAAACCAAAAAATAATTTTTGAACTTTTTGTAGTGCTTAATAACACATTTACTAACATTTACTTATACAAATGCAAAAAGGTCGAGTAGTTACATATATATTTTGCTTTCCAAAAAAGACCTTTAACATTTTATTTATATTATTTTTTAATTACATTGTATTAAACTGATTAATAAATAACAGTATTCAAACTGTATTTCTAACGATCTTATAAAATTTATATAAATACGACATTTTTTGTAACAATAAATATAAACTCGTCTTTGAGATAAAATATATAACAATAAATTTTTTTAAAAAATTTATTCCATATCACTGAACTCCAGGCTGGAAACTGAATTAAAACGAATCACTTTGCCGGTATTCCTGGCAAACATATCATCAACTTCCTTTTTAGTTATCGAACGATTGTGACCACAGAGCATATGATCCACATACCTAAAAAATGACCAACAAATCAAATGCCGATTTAAAAAGAAGAATATTTTTTACTTACGTCTTGCGGCGCGTATATGTCTTGGAACAAAACTCACAGCGATACGGCTTACCAGTATGCGTGAACATATGCACCTTTAGAGCACAGGAAGACTTGAATGTGGCTGGACACACTGAACAATAGTGAATAATACCATTGTGTCGTTGCATATGATATCTGAGTCCGCCTCGAACTGCATATTGTTTTTTACACAATTTGCACTTATAAGGAAGTCTATTCGTGTGGGTCATTTTATGTATATATAAATTTGCTCGACGCACATATGCTTTCTTGCAATTCCCGATTCCATACTTGAACTTCTTTTTTTTGTGTAAGCATAGGTGCCATCGTAATTCATTTTTGGAGTTATATATATTGCCACACACATAACATCTATTGTTTTTCAAATGTTCAGTGTAAGTGTGATTTTTTAATTCGCCGTGAGTAAGATATTTCTGGTCGCAGTACACGCAAATATAATTTCTATAGACACTCTGATGCACCGAACTTTCATGGTGGTTTAATCCGGATAAATACTGAAATAGCTTAGCTGGAATATACGAAACATGAATTTAATACGGCACATACCTAAATACAAACATATATCAATAAATATCAATAGTTGAAATAGCAATATGTATATCTATTAAATACCTTGATAATAATGACACAATTCTGAGGTCATACTTTAGTAGCAGTTCTGTTACTTAAGAATATTAAAAAATAGAAAATTTTTCTATATTTGTTCAATATTAGCTTCTGTTCTTTTAAATAACTATTCAGGGAAATATGTAGACAGCGCCTATGTGGCGTAGAGTAGTAACTTATCTTCTAATTGATAATTAACTTTATACCACATTATTTACAACGACTATCGACTATCACAGCCTGAGAAGTTCCTTTGTAAGAAAACATGGACTTGACTTCTTGAACGCCCCGGAATCACATGGACGGAGCAACTAGTCCTGTATACCGGAAGTACTCGTTTTTTCAGATGGGAAAGTGCAAATTGCTACTTCTAAATTTCAAAAAGCTGACCTGAAATAACTAAATTTATTCCAATATCATTTAGTAACTGATTTCTTAGATATTAGTGCCAACACCACATTATTTATCAATTTATTCTTGTTAGGGGATGTGGCACTGCGGCCGTCGGGTCTATTATGCTCCCTTCTGGATTTAGAGTAGGTCTCTAAGCCCTGTTGCGTCAATAAAAAGTAGTACAGAGCCTACTTTACAGAGTTTTATTACCTCTTCCGTAGGAATATACACTCCCAGGAGCTTAATCTGTATGTGCATTATCGCAGGCCATTCTAACAGCATGTGTGTGGCCGACTCCTCATTCGCTTCACAGAATCTACATTTTGCATCCGTAAATATACCCAGTCTCGTAAGGTGGTATATTAGTTTACAGTGCCTTGTTAGGTTTGCTGTGATGATTTTAACTTTTCCTTTTATAGGTTCATACTATCCTATCTATCTTATATCTTATAGGTACCAATAAGTGATTTGGATAATGTTAATCCTGGTATATTATCCCAGTAGCATTTATCAATTTAAATAAAATTTGAAATTGTTGGCCTTTAAAAAATTAGGTACAACTGATTAATGACTAAAAGGAATACATCATTCCAAAAGGTATTTAAAATTATCGAATTTATCTTATGAATCATAATTGTTAAAGCAATTAAAAATAATAAAAACAATTTATAATAATATTTAAATACATTTTAGTTCAATATTGGGTATATTCAGTGACTTCAATTTTGCTCATCCATATACGTACGTACGATATTCCAACAAAGCGGTATGTTCAACATAACCGTTTCCTTCATACTTTGTTATTTACCGCAATTATTTAAATGAATGTAAAATCAAATTTTTAAATCTTTAAGATTGTTAATTTTGATCTAACCTAATTTGAACCAAGGTTCGATAGTCAAAGTCAAACCAAATTCATCACTAAATTGCTTGAAATCCGTAACTGCTTGTGGTTTCACTTCATGATCTGTAAACCTTACAATATATAAATAAATTAATGAGTTTTTTTTTCTGATTGGAGATCTTTATTTAGTTAATATATTAATTGTTCATAGTAATAATATTTATCACCAACAGCCTGCTATAAAAGTAAATAAGTGTTTATTTCTTCTGATTCCATTTGCAATAAAATTTTATAGAAAAACAATATATAAATAACAAACACTATAAACAATGTTTTACAAATAAAATATGGATAAATAAAATTCAATAAAATGTTATATATATAAAATATTTATGAAACTTTTTATTGGATAAAGTACATAAATGCTGCTAACTTGACAATGGTTTGCTCCGTTTAGAGTCTCCTTCCCTAATGTTTATTGAATTATTCTACGAAAAAATATTTCACAGTAGTTCATGGCTTGTTATCTTTTTTTAATTTTATTCCATAAAAAATATACACATAACGATAGATACTCCCATTTCGAATTTAAATCAGAGTTTCTATTTACTGCTCTGTATCTAATATTATATAATTAATATATATATATATAATTTAATCATTTTTACTAAATTTATTTTATGTCACATTAAAACAAAATCTTTGATATACAATATTGCAATTAAAACTAATAAATAATGCCGAGGTACAAACAAAAACTTATCTGCTAATTATTGACTAATAATTAATAGCGAATTAGCGAAGCTATAATAACAATGATCACAAGATTATTACTAAATATTTAAGCAAAAAATTATTTATAACATCATCGCTTGACTATCTCTTGAACAGTTGTGATACGTGTCGATTTTCCGGTATTACGTTTAAACATTTTTACCAAATCATCATCAGACATGGTACTATTATGCACACGCAGTAGATGGCGCTTAAAACTACAGTTTGTAATATAAGAACGAAAAGAAAAAGAGAAATTTAGTAATTATTTGATATCAAGTATCGAAAATTGAAACCTACACATCACGATTTGCAAAACCATGATCCTCGCAGAATTCACAGCGATACGGCATGCCTGTGTGCTTAAAGGAATGTGCTTTAAGTTTCTGTTTAGAATTGAACTCAGCCCCACATTCCTTGCAGGGATGCTTCACACCCATATGCTTTTGTATATGATATGTAAGACGTACTTTGATTGCAAAACGCTTATCACACATATGACATGCATAAGGCAGCTCTCCAGTATGAGTGCGTAGGTGCACATTTAAGTCGAAATGGCGAGCATACTTTTTGTCGCAATGCGGACATTCTATATTCTTCTCGAGATGCAATTTCAAATGGTTCATCAATTGATTTTTTAGCTTAAAACTATTACCACAAATCTTGCATTGAAATTCTCTCTCCTTATGCGCTTGCTTGCGATGCTGCTCCAACAGGTACTCCGTATTATACTCTTTATTGCATTCGAGACATGGATAAGCAACATCGGGTTTTTGGCCTATGTGACATTTCTCATGTTGATTGAGGGATTTTTGACTTTTAAATTCGCGAGCTGAATTATATATTATATATATAAAGTAAAGAGTTTATTTTCTTTCTTAACATTTAAAGTGCAATAATAAGAAATTCAGCAAGCTAAAAAAAAATTAAGTACTAACACCAAAAAAAATGAAAATACAAACCACAAATTAAAAATAAATTAAAGATGTATTAAACTACAAATTCATGGACCTATCAGTGAGTTAGTTACTTACAAATTATAATTTAAAACGAAATATTTCTAATAAGTAGCAACCATTTCCAGTTTAAGTGGGGATTTAGTTTTGCTCAAAATAATATAGAATGAACGAGTTTTGTTTGATTCTTAAGTTTAGAATCAAAAAAGATGTTTGTAACAATTTATTTTTTTTAATTCTTAATATGTACTAGAAATAGACTGAATATTGACGTTTCCAGGTAGCCATCAATAGTCGTGTATTCACAGAACTAAATACCAAACAATATAATAATAATAACGTCAGAAATGATATACACCGATATGCAGTTGTTCTAACCGACAATTCTTAAAAGGTAGATCGTATAATTGAGTATCAACAACTGGAGTTTAGAGTAGCTATAAGTAAACTTATCTTATCACATTTATAAAATAAAATGTTTAGATAAGCACTAAACACCATTTTAATCATCTAACCAGTGATTATACGTTCTCAAATTTTAAATGGAAAATATGACATTCGCAGTTTGTTCAAATTTTATATAAATAGGGTTTATCATTAACAAATTTAATATATATAAAATGATCTCAGTAATAATTTTCAATAAAATTATTTAAGGGCACAGGCACCAACACCAGCGTTTATTATGTGATCTTTGTTAATAACATATCATAGCATGTCGTCATGTTATGAGTTCTTATCACATGAATGGTTCTTATCCTTAGAGATTTTTTTTAACATGTTTTTTATGGAAAAATAAAATATAAATTCATAAATAAAATAATAAAATGGATATTAGGTTAGGTTATACCAGCGTTTCCAGGGAATCCACTTAGGCCTATGGGCCCATTGTGTTACAAATGGATATTAGAACCACAAAAAAAAAATAAAAAAAATACATAGTGAACCAAAAACTAATATGTGTTTTAAATAATTTTTCTCGATTATATAATTTGAAAAAGAGAACAAAGATACTTACGACAATAAGCACACAAAAACTTTGGCGTGTTAGACATTTCTTCTGCTTCTTTCTTCTTGTGCAAAATGATATGCTTTTCTAGATTTTTGCTTAATAACTTTTTATTGCATATGGGACAAGTAGCAACAGCATCATTATTTGTCTCGAATTTTGAAGTTGAAACCTCGTCTGGGTGATCAGTACATATATGATTTCGTAAACTTGCTGCCGATGAAAAGTTCTTAGCGCAGGTTTCTATATAGCAAACGTGAAATGAATTCAAATGCGTTTTGTAATGTTCTTTCAAATACGATTCAGATCTGTATTTGATTTTGCAAATATTGCAATTGTAACTTTTTCCAAACTGATTTTGATCGGGCTCTTGATCACTATATTCCTCCACATCAGTACTATTTAACTTTTCATAACATTCGTTACTTTCCGAACTTTCTCCTACATAATATTCGGCTTGTACATTCTCTATAGATGGAGATGTTTCTAAAATTTCTACACTTTCCGTAATATTTATTGCATCCGCCATATATATTTCTATAATATAAAAATGTTTAACACACTAATGTATTTAGTTAAAAAATGTTTACCTTGTTCTACACCTTCTTCTTCGCAATTGTGATACATTAAAATATGTTTATCTAAGGCGACTTTGGAACGAAAATAATTTTCGCATATTATGCATGAATAAGGACGTATATTTTTATGATAATTCATATGTCCCTCATAGGATACGTCACCACGTAAAATCATTTTGCATTCGATACACTTCCATTTACGCGCGCTTCCAGTATACTTTTGCGATAGGTCAGAATCATATTCAATCAAATATTGTTCATCATTCTCCTCAAGGCCATTTACATCTATCAAAGTGTTCGCTTCGACAGTTTCGATGTTTTTCTCAAAACCTTCCTCTTCATTTATTTTATCTATCTGAAATTCACAAAATTTAAATAATATGATTACCCTTTTTCTTTGCAATATATAAGAATCTAGTGACTTACTTCCATATATTCAATACTTTGTACCTCATCTGCATGCAATTCTTCAATTCCGCACACTTCAACTTCATCTATATATTCAGCATTTTGCTTTTTGAGTAGTTCCACTTTTTTGCGCAATATCCAATCGCTTTTGCGTGCCTGATCAATAAATTTATATGTAGTCTCTAAAGTTGTGAAGCATTTCAGACACAACGTTGCCGGTAAATCATCGCCAGTGGTAGCCATTAACTGTGTACTGGTCGCAAACACATCAAAATAAGAGAGTTCATCCGTTAACTGTGATTGCATTTCAATATACTCAGGAGCTGTCGAAGTCATGCAAGCTCTACATATCATTTTGATTTTGTACTTTTTAGATCTTAACGGGCTCAACAAACAAAACAAATAATTTAAATATTTCTTTACGGAAGACGTGTGTTTAGCGCTGAAACAAATGGCGTCGTTTGTCATATGTCATACAGTGTTGCATTTTTCGTTAATGATTTTTTCTCAATTTTGCTGTGGTGAAATTTACATAAGTGTGGCATATGGCAATAAAGCATTTTACCAAAATATTTTTTTTAACCCAACATCTTTTTTATGTGAAGAGAAAATCACTATTTTGTTATTTTTTGAACAAAGAATACATATTTTTTTGATCATTCAAGAATTTCTAGAGCCTTGAGGATTGCCAATAATATAATATTAGTTATATCTCTTAAAGCATGTTAAGACTATCAATCTTAACTTATTTTTAGTTTTATCTCGATAATCGTATAAGATTTTCTTGCATTTACCATACCTAAACCCATATACAATTGCTTGCAACGAAAAAAAAGGGAAAAAACAGCTGTTTTGACTTCTGTTGCTTCTCATGTGCATGTGGTATGCTGCAAAAACAGCTTTTTCATTTTAATGTTGCAATTCTGCAACAGTGGTGTTCTCGCACTCTTGCAATTTTAGTATAGCATACTTGTATTTCGTGAACCTTGCAATGACTATTATATAATTATATAATAATAATTATAATTAATAAATATATATATAATACATCATTTAAATTGGATTTTGTTTTGAATAAAAATTTAAATTGTGCAATGAAAAAATATGGCGTCGAACAATATTGTAAGCAAAATTTAAAAAAAAATGCTTAACAGTCAAATACTGTTAAATACTGTGTGAACACTTCAACTTTTTTTAAGAAAAATTGTTGATTCGCGCAGAATAAGCTGAAGTTTAAGTATACTATACTATTATTATATATAATATGTATTGTATGTTGGCTTATTATAGTAAATCTTAATTATCTGATTTATTTCTAAAAAGATGATTTTTTTATAATATATTTAAACTCAATACGAAAAAAATATACAGATTGCAACAGTGATGCCAATTCTTAATTCGAATATAGGCCAGCATGCATTTTTTGCCACATTTGCGAACCACCGAAAACGCTTATTATAAACACAAAATTTTGCTTGAACGCACTCTACGCGTAATAAGCAAAAAATGCTATTTACTGCGTAAGGGTCGAATCGTAATCGAATTGAACACACTTTGTTTGCTATGTGGCCAATGAAATTGAACTTAAGCATCTTAATAAGAAATTTTCTTTGAGAGAGGAAACGAACGGATCACGGATCTCCGTGGTAAATAGCAGTAATAAAAATCAGATCTACAGCTGATTCTAGCTCCTGGGTTTAGATTTCTTACATTTTACCAAAGTCAAAATGTATTCTCTCTCACACACACACCTGACTCGACCTATTTTAAGCCAAGTTTTATTCATTACAAGTTCGAGTTTACATGAAGTGAAGAACACGTAAACAAGTAAGAATTTTTGTATAAACGGCAAAGAAAAAATAAATATTGCAACAGTGATACCATTGTCTTGCTTGGCGAATATAGGCCAGCATGCATTTTTTGCAACATTTGCGAACCACCGAAAACGCTTAATATAAACACAAAATTTTGCTTGAACGCACTCTACGCGTAATAAGTCAACTTATGCTATTTACTGCGTAAGGGTCGCTTAATTTCGTAATCGAATTGAACACACTTTGTTTGCTGTGTGTTCAATGAACTTGAACTTAAGCGATCTTAATAAGAAATTTTCTTTGAGAGAGGAAACGAACGGATCACGGATTTACCGTTTTAAATAGCAGTAATAAAAATCAGATCTACAGCTGATTCTAGCTCTCTGGGTTTAGATTTCTTACATTTTACCAAAGTCAAAATGTATTCTCTCTCACACACACACCTGACTCGACCTATTTTAAGCCAAGTTTTATTCATTACAAGTTCGAGTTTACATGAAGTGGAAGAACAGCGTAAACAAGTAAGAATTTTTGTATAAACGGCAAAGAAAAAATAAATAAATAAAATTAATAACAATTTTTTATTAAAGGTGGTTTCAAAAGATCGAAACGGAGTTATTTTAAAAATTAGTTAAATTGAAGAAATTGGCATAATTAATTTCGTCAGTAGAATTTGTGAAAAGAGAAAGTGCGGCAGTGGTAAGTGAATAATCATGACGAGTTTTGTTTCACTTATAATTTCTTTTGTTGCCTAAAAACCAATAAAATGTATTCAATAAACGTCTGGTATTGTGGCAGTCGTTATCATAAATTTTTTTTTTTTTAATTTTGCTTGTAACAATAGTTATATTGGTTGTGAAATTACTTTTTATTATTTTAATTGCATTAATGGCTTATAATAACTTTGATTTCTTCACAGCAGCAATAACAATGTGTAAAGATTTGGTAAAGGACGACCACATGAGGAATGAAAAAACCTCGAGCAATAAATTGAAAGGTGCAGATGCCAACGTGCTTCCCACAAAAAAATCTGTGATCGTTGCTTACGTTTTGTGGTTGTTTGGTGGCATATTTGGGTTACACCATATATACTTGCATCGTGATCGACATGCCTTTATCTGGTGGTGTACTTTAGGTGGCTACTTTGGTGTTGGTTGGTTTGGTGAAATATTTCTCATACCCGAGTATGTACGTGATGCAAACGAGGAACCAAAGTTTGTTAAAAGTTTTATTGAAAAATTGCGTACGAATCAAAAACCGCCTTACTCTGGAAAACGATTTTTGGGTCAGGTAATGATCGGCTACTTTTTCGGACAACTTATACAAATGGCCATACCACAAACAACAATCGTTGGCATTGACTGGGGTTTTTTGCATTGGTTAATACCATTATTCATTGCTTTAGGAGTTTGGACTGTGGGAAATATTGGACGTGAACGTGGCGTACTGTGGCACTGTCTAGTCGCTTCATTTATAATATATCCAGTGCGTTATCTCATTTATGATGAAACTTACACGCTTTTGTTAACTTCAATTATATCAGCTTTAGTCTTTGACAATTATTCAAAGCATTGGTTGCGTTCGCCACCTGTTAGGCGTGGTGCAGCGATACGTACAGTAAAATTTACCGGCGCTCTATTGATTTACTTCTCGATTTGGGGCTGCTACATAGGTTTTAATGGTACTATATCTGATGGTGAAGGTGGTGAAGTACATATTTATGAAGCGGTTAGAAATTTCTTAGCTTCTGCTTGGTGGAGTGATATGGTACAAGCTTTTAAAGACACCTATCTATATGCGCAACATCATGGTTGGTATGAGACTTGGAAGGAGATATTTGAGAGCATGGATGTTGACGGCGAACGCAACTCATACAAGGTGTTGGGTGTGAGTGCAACGGCATCTCAAGCTGAAATTACTACTGCATATCGTCGTCTGTCGAAAGAGTTTCATCCAGACAAAATTAAAGACGACACACAGCGCGCTGAAGCACAAAAACGATTCATTGAAATACAACAGGCATACGATTTGTTGAGTAAAATGAAGTCCAATAGAAGACGCAAGAACAAGCAATTCCAAGAGGACGAAGCAATTGTTCTGTAAGTCGAAATTTGTGCACTCGATGGAAAGTTATTATTAGTTATTGTGAAAATGTTTCTGACTTAATACATTCTCGAAAAATAGTAGGAACGTCCACGGAAATGCAATCTAAACAATAAATTCTAGATCATTAAAGAATTAATTTCATTCATTAACAAAATATTTTAAACCAAAGTAGTTTTTAAGTTCATGTAATTTATTTATATTTATTTCTATATATTAATACTTACAAATGTACATATTAACTTATAATATATGTTGTTGTATATGTATGTACACATTTGTAAGTATATAAATCCGATCCGCAGGCTTTTATAATTCATAACATTGTTTTGAAAAGTTTGTAACAATATACCGAAAACATTAATTATTAAGTTATTTTTTTATTTTAAAAATAAAACAAATCAATTCTATAAAAAAATATTTATATGTAAATTAGTAATAATTGTTCATATATACTAATCATTATTATATATAAAAAGTTATGATTTTTGTTCTTTTTTAATAAACGATGAGAGCTCTAATTAATCTCTCTGATATAATTGAATTATAATAATTTGCTAAACATTATGTATGTGACTATTTATAATACATATATAAATAAATATAAAAATCCTCAACTTCATTGTGCATTTTTGCATACACTCATATATACATTAATAATATATAAGTAAATTTCTTATAATATCTGAAATGAAAAAAATTACTGTTTTCTGTTTATACGTCGATAAAATGGTTTGTTTTTGAGACATCGGGGACGCCACCTTGAATCTTTATCTATGCCATGGCTTTTATTTACATATTTATGGCAATATTCCAAAAGGCATAATGTTGCAATATATAATCATCATCAAAATTACAACAGTGGTCCAATCTGGCCTTCTCCAACGCGTCTCTTCATCGGAACTAATTGCGACTCCATTTTATGTAGTCTTTAGAGTACTTTATAATGAATATATAAGTCTTGTAGCTATTTATAAGTGCTTGTAAAACCATTATCTTATATAGTAATAGTTGTTATAGGTTTTGTTGGATTTCAGTAGTCGTCTGCGTATGTTTTCATATATATCATTATCAGTTGGTATACCTGACACCAGGTAATTAAAGAATTGCACCACTTCAAACTCATGCCACACTACCCTGGTTACTCAGCTGTAGAAGTTTTTATTATAGACAGCGCATCAAATGTACTTGGGCTTTCAAATGATACAAAAAATATGCAATCTGATCTATTTCAAAGGATTATTGTACAATGAATTCGTATCACTTGATACATAAGCTAGTAACGCGGTTTACTTAGTGAAGTTTCCGATTGTTTTCTGCAGTTTCTGGTTGTAAAGGAAGCAACCCAAACTATTCCATTGTCCGAGTTCATAGAAGATGTTAATTGATTTTATAGTTTTTACTTAGTTTGTTTTGTTGATTCTAGTAAATCTATATATATATAGTTGAGTGAATTTATTAGGAATGCTAAATTCTTGCTTGGCTTAAATTGTTTTCACTACGTGTTATTTACAATAAAATATTTACTTACACATAATAATACCTTATATAAATTTTTAGATACATTTTTATAAACATTTTAAAGTAATAATAGTGATTGAAGTTACTAGTAAAAACAATTACGAGCAGTTTTAGAAAAATATCATCTCCAACCAACTACAAAATAAATTCAGAGCATGTTTCGGATAAAAATTAAGGAAATGAATCATTTCTTGTTAGGAGAAAAAAGTAATCAATAGATGCTATTCCAGTTGCCATTTCGATGATATGCATTTATATTACATATCATAAAGATTTCTTTATGTCTGTTCCTAATTACATATATAAATGCGTTAATATATAAATACTTTGTATACATTTATCACCAAACGAGGAGCCATGAAATTCTGATCCAATGTCTTGAAGTGAGCTGGTTTTATTCTGTAGTTATCTCTATCTACCGTCGCAAAATTAAGTCCCGCTCTCCCAATGCTTTCCAATATACAAATCAGTAAGAATCTTTAAGTTATTATTTTATATCAACAAGCTATTGAATGTATTTATAACACCGGGACGGCGCGAACGCCATTCCCGACTACCAAAAATTACACGCACGAGTTATTCGCATTAGGAATAATCGCGGAGGTCAACTCAACCGTAGTGCAATGGCCAAGCCTCACTCCGGGGGAACCGCCTTCTTGATCACGGTAACCCCTACGCCAGGTAAGTATGCTTCACACTGCTCTGGGCACACTATATAGATATCGATGTAACTGAACTTCATGAGAATTAAAATTCAAAAATAGGCACAATAATTCATTCTTTCATATATTCATGAGATATTTATACATTATTAGTCAAGATTGTGGTGGTTGTTTCTTATAACACCCAGTCGCAAATGTTCATATTCCTTCTGCACTACCATACACATGCTTACATACAATAATACAGAAACTACACTAAAATATTACAGAAAACAGTAGCAACTAGTAAATTAACACTCGGATTCAATTCTTTTTATATAAATTATTTTATATGTTGATGTAAAAATGAAAACACTTGTCAAAGTCTTGAAAATTAATTTAAATTTAAATATTAAAGAAGACAAAACGAAAATTTGAAATTAGAAATGCAACTAAAATTTCGTTGTGAATATGTCAACTATACAGCTTGAGTAAAAGTACCTGCTCATTACTAATGTTTCAATGAGTGGCATCATCTTCATTTACAGCTGGGTTATGAAGTGCCTATGTAGAATGTTGAATAAAAATAATTCAAATAAAAAATATGCTGTCATGCGCTGTGCCATGTGGAAATTGGTTGGCCAAAATATTTAGGGATGTAACTTAGTGTTTTATAGAATTATTAAAAATAATTACTTTATCATTTATATTTAAAATATATTACACAAATATTATTATAATCATATCATATCATATCCTATAATCACCTTAACATCTTATCACATCTATATAAGTTGACATCTGGGTGACCAATAGTACTTCTTGTTAAACTGTGCAATTGCTTTCTCCAGCTCCTGGTTGTAAACGTGACAGTTCAAGATATCCTCTTGGCGGAGTCTATCAAAGATATTGATTAATTTAAACTGCAATGTTTGCATTTTAAGATTATATTTTTGAAAAATTCCTAAATTTATCATGTAATTCCCATCTGTAAGATTGTATCAAGACATAAAAATATATAACACATTAAGTTTTCAAAAGTAATGCGGTAATGTCCAAAGCATAAGGTAGTCTTAAGAATTTATAAATATTTACCATAGATATGCTAATCATTTACTCAACATTAATATACTTGAATTTAGATTAATAACTGGTTCCACATTAGTGTTTTTATTTAATAATTTGAACACTAATATAAAACTAAAGCATGCTTATACAAAATTTTTAAGGAACATAGTAAAATATTCACTTATCTCCTTGATCAGCTACAAATATACGTATTATAGTTAGGGAATGTGGCACTGTGACCATCGGGTCTCTTGTGCCCAAATACACGTATTACTAGGATAAGAATTTTGATCTTTAATTTCATTGTCAGTCTACCACAAGAGATCTAGATCTTCGTGCTTCATGTTTCTCATGAATACATTGATTATATTGGGATATTTAGAGATGTAGGTCTGTCATTAGAAAGAGGTATATCTGTATACACTGGTGGCTATAAAGAAGGTGGTGAGGGGGGCAACAAAGATTATTTTATGTTGAACCTATTTAAACCAATGCACTTGAACAGTTTTATCCTTATTAATTCGAGGTATTTTTAAAACCCCTTTACGCCTTGACTGGATTAATGTTTATCACTTCATCAGACTGCACACCTTCCCGAGGAGCCTGTAACCATTCTGAGATTCGATAACGCGGGCTCTTAATCATTACAGTGGAAGTATTTGCTTTTAAGAAGGCTAGAGCTTACCATCGAAAAATATATTATTCAATGTATGTACTATTAAATAAACTGCTTTAAAACTCTATAAATCTAATTTCATTCCGAATAATTTTTAGCTGCAACGCATCTCTGAATGAGATATCAACACAGTTAAACACTTCATTCTGTTTGGTTATCAGTTATAACCAGCCAGTTGGAATCTTTGGTAACACTTTTGGAATAATTAAACACTTACAACAGTTCAACAGTTCAGTAAAAAAATATAATGCTCTTTAGAGATTTGCAGGCAAGTTGAGTTATTTTAAGTATGAAAAAATGTTTACTAATTTACTCTGATATATCTAATATCAGTCTGAATTGCTGATTTTTGTGGATTAGAAAACTATGCTGAGATTAAATATTACCTTTGATGACTCTTCCCAAAGTTGTTAGGAAAAAGAAGACACCGATTCATATCTCCTTTGTGACTACTCTGCACATTTGTGATATTGTTACGGACTTACTTAAGGACACACTTCACCATATGCAAATTAATGTTTATCTATTGTCAATCCTCTGCAAGGGTTAGTGTTTCACATGGATTTGTTGTTTTAAAACTCTTTATTTCTTCTACTATAGCAGAATTATTGCAGAAATTCTCATATTATCACAGAAATTCCATTGTTGCATTTCATTATTCGTATCGTTCACTCAAATTTTTGATTGTGAATATTCCTAAGGAATATATGGAATGTAGGTGCATACTTTACATTCCTTCAGTAAAAAGTTTGTGGTATGAAGTGCATATTACATTGAAGAGCATTTTAGGCTTTATTAAAATTAAATTGGTTTCAAACCATCAATATATGGATAGATTTTTACGGCAACAAAGTGCGCTACCAGACATCAATGGATCACTCGAATCACTATAATAACTCAATCTGTCCTAAGACGATCATTAAAAATGCACTATTATGAGGACTTACATCTCTGTAAGAGATCTAATTGATTCTATTTTAAGTTGAGTTGTATAATTACCTACTAAAGATTCATTAATTATCGACATTCATCCAACTTTTAAGCATTCTCATTAATCTTCATTTCACTTCAGTAAGTAAATTTTTAGATTTTGTGACTTCTTGAATATACCAGTATAAAATAAAGAAACATAAGAAAACATAATTTTTTTCATTAAAATTTTATCTTTATTATTTTCATAAAATTAAAATAATAAGTACATTAAAACCTTAAAAATAATAGAAACAATTACGTATAAATACATAATTTTTTTGAATCCTTCTTCTCTAATTTGTTTGGATTTGTTGTTGTAAAAACAACTTTCGATCACAACTAATGAAATTTATTATAAATTTATATAAAATTTATATAAAATAATGAACTACTTAATGACTACGAATAAAATGCATAAAATGTATAAGAAACATTAAACCAAAACATTTCTAATGAATTTCAACATTAAAATGAAGTGTGGCGCAGGTCCCGCTCAAAGGACCCTCGCCTTAGAAGTAGGAATTGTAGCAAAAACAGTAAAATAACAAAAAATTAAGTAAGACATTTGTAAGGATAAAAAATAGAGAACCGAAAATAAAAGTAAGGGGATAGAGTAGCAGGAATAAAACTTTTAAGCATATTACCTAAAGTTTATTTACTTTATAATACTGAACAAATATGTATTTACTAGTGTACATATGCGTGTATATAAGGTTGATGCATTTCTATGTGCATTTCTATTTGATACTCTTCGACTTCAGCGAATCGATGCCGTTTCTTGCGGTTTATTGCGGTTTGATTGCTGAAGACGCTTTGTGACAAAATCTCAAAGTTCGAAAATATTAGGTTTAAAATCTGAAAATGGAAGTACATTTTTGCATTTCGACTAAATTGCTAGCTACCTGGAATGTTTGTATGGATTTCAATTATTTTAAACATTGACATATGTGTCTTTCATAAATTATTAGGAATCTACACATTGCTTGCTTCTCTCGATTTAAAATCAAATCGTTTTTTACGTTTTTACATATTTACATATTTTTTTAAATTAAATAAATTGTACTTAATTGCTAAGACTGCAAACAGTTGCTTTCAATTTTTCAATTTTTCAATTTTTGAATTTTTTCTTTTTTTATAATAAATTTTTCGAATAAAATAACGCATTTAAGCTAAAAACTGCTGAAATATTTGCAACAAATAATATATTTTAAATGAATCCCGTATTTGACTATTCTCAAACTAAAAAAAATATAGCATACTTTAAAGCTGTTTTCCTTGGGAATTACTTTAATCGAGCCATTCAACTCGTAGGGCACGTGGGCGCGCTTTTTAATTATTTCATTGGGCGTTATTAAAGGTTTGTTATCGTCGTTTTTGTGTTTACATTTAAAGATGTGTCACCACAATATCTTCTTCGAGATCATCGAGTTCATCGTCAGTTTCTTCAATAGCTTGAGCCTCAGCAGCTGCAGCAGCTTCCTTCTCTTTGGCTTCTTGTTCTGCCTTTTCTTTGGCTTCTTGCTTCTTGACACGACGTTGCTGTAAAATAAATTTAATATTAATTAATTTTCATTAAAAGCTTTCGATAGCAAAACTTACCTTTCTTCTGTACAAGATTTCGACGATCACGTAACCAATGCAACCAAGAGCTAGCACAGCCAACAAAATGTAAAGTTTCATACGAGCGCATAATGTTGTCGCATAAGCGTATGCAATCACAAAGCCAGCTGATTCCCAAAGACGATAATTAGAGAAAGCAGCTTCTTTGTTACGTCTGAAGAGTAAACCGTAAAGACCATTGATCTGCGTCTGCCACACCGCATCACCAACACCCCATAAACCGGACATGGCGTAGAAAATAAGTGGATTTGAAGGATTTGGATGCCAGAACAATTCAACAGTGATGAGTGTGAAATGCACTATAGCACCGAGTACAATAATTGGCGTACGTCCGATATATTTCATCACGGAACCAAATAGTATAGAGCAAATAGCGTTAACTACACCAAAACAAATCATCACGAAACCAATTTGATGTATGCCCAACGCGCAAGATACGTAAGCTTGTGTGAAATCAGCACCGATAAATGCTTGTTCCATGCCAATGAATACTGTGATGGGTATGAGTAACTGTTGATTTGGTTTCTTCATTTGACGGAAGGTAGCAGAAAGCAGCTCCATGCCGGAAAGTTCCTGAGCAGATTGTGAACCTTTACGTTTCTCACCATAGCGTTTAAGTGGATCCAAGAAAATAGCAATTATAGCTACAGCCGCAATGATACAAGAAAGGTATATCATGGAGATCTCAAAGATTTCATGATCTGGTGGACGTTCCAAGTTGCCGTGAGTATTGCCATTCACACAGAAATTTGCGCCGCAGTACTGCAAATCTTCTTCGCTGATTGTAGTATTTGAATCACTACCTCCGCCATGTGCGCCATTAGAAAGCACTGTTGAAAAATAGTAATATTATATATTTGTTTTGTTTTCATTCTTTAGGTTAGGAGCCTACCTAAACTGGAGATGAGATTTCCCCACAATTCAGCGGTTTGCCAAGCCAAAAAGAAGAAGCCAAAGAATCGTACAATGATTGCATCAACGGCTTGTTCTGTTATCTTTGCATAGACTTGTCCTACTTGTGTTAAGTATGTAGCTTTAGATGCCCACATAGGAGCTGCACCTAAACCGACTAGAATACCAGCAGGAACCAAGGTATAGAATCTAAAAATTACAAAGTATATACATTATATAAACGACTATACTAGTATTGTATATTAATCTTTACCTTGGGAACAACTGGAAGGCAATGTATGGTGCATAACATAACATGCTGAAGACCAAAGTCCACTTAACTGTTAACTTACGAATAATTAAAGTAGGTAGGAATATACAAGAAACCACAAGGGCTGCGTAAATAGCACTAAGCGATACTGTTCCGAGACCATCTTTGGCATTAATTGAGGACTGTAAATTTGCTGTACCCTATAAAACAAAAATATTTTTTTTTAATTTATTATTTTTAAGTGTTCGTAACAGTATAAAAAAAAAACTGGTTTTTAAAAATATTTAAAGTTTTATTAAAAATTTTTATTAAATTACCTGAAAAGCAGTAAATTGTACCATGAATGCGAACGAAATGACGCTTATATTTTTCAATATGCGCCATTTTTCAGCAGGGTTAAGTATAACTTTCTCTCTGAGTGATGCTGTATCACCGTCCAAAGCCTTGGGCTGTAAAACAAATAATAGGTTAACAAGAGTTCGAAAATGATATATGTTCATAACGAAAACTATCACGCAGACTCGTTTATTCTCAAATGAATTCAAATTAACAGACTTCAATGGCTAGAACTTGCGATCTAATTTATCTATATTGTGAATGCTCCGCGTAAAGGTACAGAGCAGCAACATGTATAGAATGAAATGAATTTACCACAGAAACATAGCTATTTCAATTTTATGACCAAATCAAAATTTATTCCGATAACACATACGAATTATGTTAATCAAAAATTTACATACTTAATGAGATTTCAGCAAAAAGTTTTAACCAGAAACAGTTTTAACCATAAAAAATACAAGGTAAGTTGGTGAGTTGATTTGATTTTAATTTGCAAACATTTTGCGATGTTTTTAAATGAAAAAATTTTTTTCGTATCATACATAGAAAATGTATCTATATATTCATATATATGTAAATTATATGCATCTAATACATATATGTTAAATATTAAATAATTATATACTTATAGATTTGTGTCCAGAAATTTTAAGAAAATTGTGGCTTTATATAATTTTTTTGTTGTCTGAATTCCATTAAATTAATAATTAAATATTCCAGTGTATAAACTTTATTTTATTGTTCATAATTAATTAAATGAAACGGTTTGATTTTGTTTTAAGTTGAAATAGTAGTTTTATATTGCAACGCATACCCTGATCCAGCGAGATATTCTAAGTGGGTTGTATTGCGCACATAATAAAATGTTTATAAACATTAATCATAAAAGTATGCAACATGGTTGTTACAGTTAACTGAACTATTTTGTAAGAGTAATTATTGATATTAATAATAAATAATATCATATTAAATAATATTATAGAAATAATAATAATATAATTGCAAAAAAATCAATTATATTATTTAGTCGTTTATAAATTCAAAACATATAAAATAAAAAAATAATAAATTGTATTGAAGACATTATTTTTTTTTTGAAATAACATTGAACCATTGTTGTCTCAAATTCAGTAGTTAATTGCAATATGAAACTATTAATAATTTAACTATATTTAGTAAATAAGATTGATTATGCAATTATAACTGCAGTTCACCAACAAATCATAAATGCTTTAAATGCAATTAAACACTCTTACGTGCTTCAAAACACCTTGAAAAACTAAGTGGCAGCATAACACAATAGCATAAAAAAACTAATAAATATATATAAAAAATACTAAAAATAGCAACAAAAGTCGTTTAATTGCAACTTAATGACTAAAACTACCAATCGCCTTCTACAAAACAATACAATTTATTTTAATTATAGTAACTAATAATGATGTTTTGAGGAGCGAAACGATTTTTTCTCCAACTGAATGGAAAGAAATATTTATGAAAATATTTAAAATTATTGCATAATTACTATAGGTCAAATTGTCTTGTCTGTGTAACCAAATAAATTATTTTCAAATGTAATTTTCAGCTCATGCAATAGTTTTCCACCTAACCACCTAACCACTAACAAACTTAACTAAACAAAAAATCGGTAAGATAAAAATAAAAAAGATACATTAAACCAAATCACCTTGAATTTTTTATGCAGATGCTTTTTGGCTTTCAATTGCAAGCACAAGAAAAATATTCTAACGAACTTAATATGTTTCACAAAATGAAATCGAAATCTTGCAACAAATACTATTATTTTCTAACTTACTTAATTTATTTTTAAAATATTTATTTTTAGCTACAAAGGCTAATACACTGAGCTAGATACGCGCCTTGTTAATCAAGTAAGTAAATATCTCAATTTGACTTTGTAAATACATACGTAACAAGTGCACATGTCGTGCATACCAATGAGATAAATGGCCATTTCATTGCTGCCAAACTCAAGGATATGGCGCAGTTTACAAGTGTGGCTAAGTAAGATGAGAAACATTTTCTGCAGAGCAACATTGTTGCTGTGGCTCAGTATAGAAAACTCAACTTCTAATTTGAGTCAAATCGCAAAAGTTTACTTTTTTTAATTTTTTAATAAATATACATATATAAATATATGTCATGTACAAAATGTTTATTTTCTTTGTTGTGTCAATGTAAAATCTCCCACAAACAAACAGCTGTTAGTGATATCAGTAAAAATGCTTCCCAACAGCTGCAAACGACTTTCCAGTAACCAGCAAAGAAAATGTTCACTTAAAGTAAAAACAAAAACAAAAACAAATAAATGCAAAAGCTTAAGCAACATTTTTTGCCATTTTTTATTTATTTTTTTGATATTTTTTTTGTTTTTCATATTTATATTTTGCATACTCTGCTAAGGTTTGTGGTAAAAACAAAATTGTTGTTGCTTTTATTTTTTTTTTTTATATTAAATATTTGTAGCCTCGTTACTGTATAACACATATAAAAAAGAAAAATATATACACGCAAAAATATTATAAATTGAGTCCATTAAAAAGACAAACAATAACCGCTGCGAACCAGTTAAAACCGGCAAATATACACACTGAACAACAACAAAAATCAACAAACCAAAGTTTAAGCTTAAAGCCGGATTTCTAATTTGTTGCTGTTGTTATTTCAGTGTTGCGAGAGAATTATTGTTATTAGTTATGTGTATGATGACGTTTTAAGCCAGCACACGTACAGACACATGTATATAATCGCACTAGTGTAAACGTTGTTTATAAACATGTATGCAAATAAATTGCTTGCTGATGTTGACAATGTTGTTGCTTAAGAACTTTTTTGCTGTTGCAGATTTCAAAAATTATGCGTGTAATAAAATTTATAAATTAATGCAGCAGAGATTTTAAAAAATATGTCAGTAATAAAATATATAAATTAATGAAGCATATTAAAAATAAGAAAACATATATTGAAAAAATTAAAAATTAGGCGTTTTTGCCTTTACAAAAACTTGAAATACGCAAAAAATTACAGCAATGCATTTGTGGGTATATATGAGTTTGACCGCAAAATTTCTTACAAGTGAATTTTATTTTGTTTTTTTATGTCTTTTATTTTTATTTTTGGTTTTTCTTTTATTGTTGTAATGCATTAAATTATGTTACTCGCACACGACATAAAACCCAACCCAACCCAACCAACCAAAAGCAAACCCAAATACAACATTTGTATTTTATGCTTTTGCAAGCAGCAAATTGTTGTCAACATGTGCCGCAGTTTGCCAACAAAGATCACCTGTTGCCAACAACAAGTTGAAACCCACTTTTGGCCAAGCACGAGATTTTCAAGTTATTTTTAAAAATAAAAATCAGCTAAAGTGCGCTTTTGAGTTTATTTGAATTCTGTTTCTCGTTGTTGTTGTTGTTGTTGTTGCTGCTGCTGTTGTTTTTATTTTTATTTTTGTACTGTACATTTGTGCATATCGTGTGCTTGTACAATTAAAAATATCTGCAAGACATTTAAACTTTTTTGTTTCACTTACGGGTATTTTTTTTTGTTTTTTTTTTGTTGATTATAAATTGAGTTTTGTTTGCTGATTTGCCAGTTTGTCCGTTTGTCAGTTTGCTAGGCCATTTGTACATAATTTAGTGGATTTTCTAATTTTAGCTTTGGGTTATAATAACGCTTGCAGCACTTTACTAGTTTTTTCCTCAATCATTTTTTTAATATTGTATAAAACTTCTCTTATATTTTTTTGTTGAGTGCCTATTTTTTAATTTTTGATTTATAGCACTTTGGATTATTTGTTGAGAGTCATGTAATATTTTTTATGCTTTCAATGTAATACATTTTTAAAGTGTTTTGTTTGTTAATAGAATAAAAAATTTATATATATATATTTAAACATAATAATATAAATCTCTATTGTTTTTTTTTTTGCAATATGTCAAAATATAAATGGCCGTCAATTTTTATCTGTCAACTTCGAAAAGCTGGGCTTATGAAAACGGTTCGACTCACGTGACGATGGAGTGCTTAATTATATACACGTATTTTTAAATTTTTTTAATCGAGTTTTTGACTTGTATATTTATAAAGAAAGTAGAAATTTGCATATAAAATACACAGGTAAAGTAACGTTTTTTTTTTTTGGTTTTATATAAGATAAACAATTATTAATTTAAATAATTTAAATGTGGCTTATTACTTAACTGAAATAACTTTTTATTTTGGAGTTAATTAATTTAGAAGGTATTACCGCGTGAGAACTATAAATTCCATCTAGAAAAATTAAAAAAAAAAAAGTTCAAAGCAGAAGATTTGAATATATTTATCTACTTCGAGATACAGCATCTAAGTTATTGATAGCAAATTACAAAATAAAAGATATAAAGATTTAAAATAAAAGATATTTTTTTTGTTGTACAAACTTTTTTAAAAGTATTTTTTATTCACAACCAGAAACCAGAAAAGTTTTTTAACGGAGAATTTTTTTGAAAAAAATGGCTGTATTTAGGTTTTTATAATTATTTTTCTTCCTTATGGCAGTTAGGTTAGGTTGGATTGTACTAGCGATCCTAGGGATTGAAAATCACATTGAGTTAACTCCAGTTGACAATAGAGTATCTATTTTAACAAGAATATTCTTAAAGTAAAATTCAGCTTTCAATATAATTCAAGTTTAGTACTAGTATATATCAGTTTTTATTATAACAGTTATATACTCTTTCGTTATATATTATATATGGTACACAATTTATATAACATAGTTCAAAAAATAAAACTATTTTTGAAAGAAACTAAAGAAAATGAAGAAATTTGATTTTAATGATGCACTGGAGTCTTTAAGTTTAAGAAAATTTCAAGAATTAAATAATAATGAAACTTTAAAGAGTTTATAAGTCTGTTGCTGTTTAGTTTTAGGCATTCACGGAGAGTGTGTTCTTATGTTATAATGTCTGAACCGGACATATGCCAGTGATTGCCTTCTAAATGACACATTTTTCGAGATGGTACCTCAGACTTTTATAAAACTAGTCAAATTTATTACACTTTAAAATCATAATTTTTACAAAATATTAAATAAAATTTTAATAGTAAACGCCTACATAAATTTTAATAATTTTTTACTTCCTTAACAATTAACGGAAGAGCTCAGAACAAAAATTTGCGACGACAAGTTTTCCTTCACTTTGCACTATAAAGGAATCCGTTCTCATAGACTTAATTGCTACGAAATTGAATAATCATGTAAACAAATTCATATAAAATATATATATATTTATATATATTTCCTTTATTCATAGACATAAACAAATGCATAACTGGCTTATAAATTGAGTGCACAACACCGAATACGACAGAAGATCTCCCCACCACGTCTTTGACTGGTATTGCTAACGTATGATCAAGGGATTTAGTTAGACCACTTAGATCTAACCTAAGCTAAACACAGCCATATTTTATTGAATGCATTTTTTAATTATTGTATTTCTGACTCGTATCACATGCTTTAAAGCCATTTTAGTAAAAATTGTATATATAGTGAAAGTAACTTTTTTACAAAATTTAAATTAGGAAAATCAATCAATCTTATGCACTTTAAGTGTTACTAATGTTTATTGACATAACATGAAACTAATCTGAGATTAATTACAGCAAATATATTCTGATTGAATATTCAAGATTGGAAAGTATCTACGAAACTAGATGCTGGCATAGCCATAAAAATAGATCATTTCAAGTAAATGATAATTTTGTTGTCAATTAGCGGAATGTAACTGCCTTTCACTGTCAGCATAAAAAATATTTCCAATACTTAAAACATAAAAATAAACACAAAAAATTATAATACATAAATGTATTTATAGATGATATATTTAAAAGCAACACAAGTGAGGGTTTGCTGTCACAATTAATTGATATATAGTATGTAATGTTCTAACTAAAATTGCAGTTTGAAGGATAAATCAATAAAAAAAATTGGAAAATCCACTCAAAATAATTACTCAGCTAATTTTCAAATAAATAAACAATAAATAAATAAAACGTACGTTGACTTTTTCTGAATAAAAATATTCATACACATATTTTAAAATATGAAATAATTTTATTACAAAAAAAAAATTAATATTAAAATTATAGCAAGTCATATCGTTCAGTTCACTTAAAAAAAAGAAATGCTATTAATATAAATAGTTAAACAATAACTAAATTCATTTAATGAAAAATTGTTGAAAGGCTCAGAAATGACTGAATGTAATTATTTACGCTATTTCATTAATTTTAATTTTTTTATATAATATATTCTTGCTTTATTTAATGATTTATGATGTTTCTACACTAAATAAGTATTATATCTCGGTATCTTGCCGGCGTTTCTAATTCTTTTATTGATATTTCGATATTAGCACAATTTGTCAAATTAAAATCTTGTAAAAATAAAAATAAAAATAAAAAATTGTGTATTTCAAAAGTAATTAATAATTAAGAGGCGGACAGTCAACAATGTATTAAACGGATATAATTACTAGCTGACAGTTTGACGAACGCACAGTAAGTTAGACAGCTAATGTTAATATTATTTATATAGTTGTATAATATTTCTATTTTACTAATTTGACATTTTCATTTTCATTTCCATTTCCATTTATTTTTAATTCGATTTTATTGTGAAATATATCAAAACGGGCTTTTTGTTACTTAAAACGCTGATGAGGAAGTGCGATTTTTTTTAGAAGTATTTGAATTATGATTATTGTATTTATTTATTTATTTTTTTTTTGTATCTAAATAGCTTATAAATCTGATATTCTATAGTCTGACTTTCTATTTGAATCTATGGATGCTACGAGTCTATTGATGTATTAACTTACCTTCACGGGTTCATCGTTTTCAAATCCAGCGTTGCTGAAACCAGTCATTTTGCTAAGCTTAGTTTAGTGTTTTTATTTTTTTTTTGCTTCTGAGTAAATTAGTATTTGTTTTTTTTTATCTGTAAATATAAACAATAATAATTTCTAGTTAATAAACAATTTAATTGCATAAAGTAAATACGTAAATAATTATTTTTATACATTTTTTGTTAATACGCTAGCATTAATAAAAGTCCGAATCAAAATTTTAATAAATAAAATCTATGTAAAATTATTTAATTTGAAGTGTTTATTTATGGTAATAAAATCCGGCTTTAATGAAATATACGTAATAAAGTATAACTTTATGTAATAATATTTTATGCTTTTAATTAAAATTAAACAGATTCGATTTAGATTATTATTATATCATTATTATAATTTCCAATTGAATGATGATAACATATAAAAATAATAAGCGCTGCATGAGTTATTTAATAAGGAAAAATTCATAATAGCATTGTTAATAATAATTATAATAAAAATTTAAATAGACATACACATATATACATATATTACAATTATTAGATTAAAATAAAAGAAATTAAAATATTTATTTATTAAAAAATTATTTAAGGCATTTACATTTAAAGAATTACATATATGATTCTTTAGAACTCTATATTAGTTTTACATTTGTAAAAGAAATTGAAATATTTATTTATTAAAAACTATTAAAGGTATTTACATATAATGGGTTACATATATGATACTTTAGAACTCTATATTAGTTTTACATTCGTACATTCGTACTTTATACTACAAACGTAAATTTTTTTACACAATATTTGGTGTTAAAATTCAATAGATAATTTACAAAATTTTTAATATTAAATTATTAAAATAAAAACTTTATTTTTATTTAATTATTATTTATTTTATTATTTCTACTTACTTAATTTTATATTTCAACATCAAATTCTACAAATTTTTTGTATATAATTATCATATTAGAAACCTTATTATTTGTATTATTATTATCTTCATAAAATATCAATAAGCCAAATTATCAACACAATGATTCCAATTAGTTTATTATACGATCATTTCTTTCTCTATTAAATAATTTTCATTCAAATATTGTGGCAAATATTGTACAGTACAAATACAAATATTGTGCATGAGACATATCAGGGGCGGTCAAGTGTAAAGCCGCTGACTTGTGAATGAAACCGAAAGAAATATGAAACTTTCAATAAAAATAAATTTAACAATAATAAATTGTTTAAAAAAAGAATTGTTGAATAATGGCTATAAGGCATCTACACATGTAAACAATAAAAAAATATTATTAACTGAAAAAAAAAATACGTAAAAAATCATTCAAGGTAGTTCAAGTTCATGTGAACATTTAATACAATTATTATGGTAAAATAGAGCAATTGTGTATATAATTACATTAACATTGCATTATCTAAATAATTGAAAATAATGTTATTAACATATAATAAATCATTTTAGTTAAACTATTTGTTGAAATGCTATTGATTGGAAAATATACCATGAAATTGTCTTTCATTCAAAACTTTTAGTATAACTTAACAAAACCAAAAAAAAAAAATAAAGTGACATGCATTTTTTAAGATATATACATCCTTCAATAGATTATTAAAATATTAAAATTAACTATTAGATTATTAAAATATTTATTTAACTTTATATTCATTTTAAATTTGTTGTATTACATAGAAATTTATAAAAATTATATTATATAAATAAAGCTTACAGCTATGTCATTTTAGCCGTCTGCTGGTTAACTTTATATGTATTTCAATTTTATATGGAATTTCTATGACGGAGCCTTGTGAAAATTTACCTATTTTAGGCACTTCTACCAAGACAGGATGTTGTGTTTTTTATTTCACATGTAATATGAATTGCATTTATGCCAATAACAAATATGATGTATTTTCCCAACAAATTTTAATTATTATTATTTTACCATTATTCTTTTGAAATGTGTAATAAGAGATTTATATTCCCTTTTAATAAAGTCATTTATATTTTAATATGAGAAATGGTTTGGGTAATAGAAAATTAAATAGAAAATATCACGCAACTGTTGGAAATAAAATACGTAACGTATTTCATAAAGATTTTACTATTAATTTAATGTATATATTGTATAAAAATATTATTTGTAAATATTTCGTAAGTATTAGCAAAAGAATTATTTTACTACAATAATAATAATAATAATTAACTAACAAAGAAATTCCCAAATAAATTATTAATAATTATAAACTATAATAAATATTAATCCAAAGCTATATTGTTGGATTACATTTCCAACTACTAATTGAGTACTTCTTGATGTATTTGGGTGTTACGTATCAAGTAAGTGTAACCTGATAACTAAATTTATACATTAAAATTGATTAATTACCTTAAAAGTCATCAACTGAAACGTTTGTAAATTGACTGATTTTATATTCATAAGAACTTTTACAATTCCTCGAATTCAATGAACAAAGCGTCTGTATTTTAATGGGTTTTCCGACACGTGATAACAAAAACAGTAGGAGCAAAACAAAATAAATTGCCAAAGAAAATAAACAGTTGGACTTGTTATTTAATATATTGTTATTTAATATCAAAATTTTAACTATAAATATATTTATATTTATATATTCATTAAAGTACGAATTATTTTACTTTCGTACTTTGTACTTTCGTACTGTACTTTCAGCAATGAAAACTCAAAACCTTTGTATGAGGCTTTAATGACATATATATTTTCTGTGTAGCCTATGTTTTCTGATTTTAATATATAATAACTTAGTTATACAATTTACCATAATCATTAATTAACTGATATTTTATGTTATCCTCATAGATGTTTCAAAAATAACCTATTACCAATTTATAGTGATTTTGGTTAGAATTAATACCTAGATTAATACCTAGTATATATAAGCCCTATACAATTGTTCAGGCATTCAGGGCATTATTTACGGATTTCAAATGCTGGCATATGATTAATATAAGCATATGAACAATAATTAAATCTTTATAGAAACTTGTCTTTTGCGACATATTATACATATCTACTTGTGATGTATTCAACGTGTTTATGTACGAATTTTTTTTTATTTCCATTATTGGTGTTGTGAAAATATTTTTATTTTTCAAAGTGAAATATTTTCGTAACAATATATAAATAAGTATTTTATTTTGTCGTGCACGTAAAATTATATTTATAGCCGGAAAAATCCAATTATTATTTCCCTATATGCTTGTAAGTATTTCCTCGCAGAATTTTTCCTTGCAATTTACTATAACTAATTTCGAGTTATCAGAGCTAACACCTTATAGAAATCAGTTTTCATAATATGAATAACTGCATTCTAAGTTGTATATAATTTTTAAATTTTCACATTACGATAACAAACTCGCAAACTTAATTAAACACTAATTACTTAACTATATTTTGCAAAAAAAGCAAAAATCTATTAAAACTGACTGTCATCAAATTGAAAAACTATGAGAAAATTCTTATACAATGCAGGCACGAACATATGTGAAAGTAATTCTATTTAAGCAATAATTTATATTTTACTATAATTAAATTGATTGTGTGTTTTGTATGTGAAAAGATAATATAGCAACGAAATCAGTTTTTGATTTCAATAAGAAATTGATAATGATAGATGTGTGTTTATATTTCCATTAAAGCACAGTTAAATTAATAATTTGACATTTTCGACAATTCTATTTAATTAGTAATTCTTTCCTAATTTTTATTAATATTTTATAAATAAATAAATTGATTAACTAAAAACAATTGAAGTGCTGAGGTGTTTTTTTGAAGTGTTTTTACTTCACACACCCCAGATTAATTGCACTGATATTTTGCCAATTGCTTCTGCGTATAACAAAAAAAAATCCATTTTTCCAATAAATTTTGCAAATATTGATTAAGAAAACTAATTAAATGATAAATTATTTACATATTGTGGTTATATTTTTTAATCCAAGTCACATGACTCGTATATACAAATCATAAGAACTTTCCGTATTTTATTGCCTTTGGTTTATCTACTTATCAGTTAAAGCGACAATCACTAAAAATTATCAAACTAACTAACTGATTTATATAATTTTTAATAGTTTAGAGTATAGGCAGTTGAGTTTATTACAAAATAATTTCACATTAAATATGAATTATTTTATTTCTCTTTAAACAAAATATTTGCCCAAAAGTCTGGTAATCAGAGAGGTTAATCTATTTTTTTTGTCAACTTTGTCGTGAACTTAAGTTAAAACTACTTGAGATTATTGAAAAATAATTCAGCATTAAAAATCAATAATATTAATATACTTTATATGGTTTTGATAAGATTTTGATTCAAATTTGTAATTTAGATTATGACATTAAATCTGTTTTTATAGCTCAACGCAATATTCAATATTAGAAAAACTGTGTATTTTTAAAAATTTAAGTGTTTCTAATCATAGATACCTAAGAATTTGTGCACATAATTATAAATAATACTTAATGACTATAGAGGAATATTAGAATAAAATTGAATAATTTTATAAACTTTAAAAGGATTGTATATAAAATTCAATAAACACATGAAAATATTACTTGTATACTAATCCATGTATACATATACAAAACCCGTCCCTGTTTTTATTATTTACTATTATTTACTATTTACTATAACTCTTACTCTGTTAATCTAACAATAGAAGCATTAGTTGCTAGAGTATGGTAGGGATTTAGACTTTTATTAATTAGTACCTATTATTTTATATATTTTGATTATATTTATTTTAAACATTATTAACAATTATTAATGAAATTGAACACAAAACTTTCATAAAAAACAAAAATATTATTAATGTACAAAATTAAAGGAACTTTACTTGAAATAATATAAAAATATTTAAATTTATTATTCTGAAACTAGATTTTTTTAAAGTGTATTATAATATATTTAAATATAAAATTTTCAAAAATTAAATTGTTTATTCATAAATTTTAATTTAAAAAAAAAACTATTAAATTGTCAAAAATTTTGCATGAAATGTAGTAAGTATATAAAAATATATTATTTATTATTAATATCGATTTGA